CAAAATTTGACTTTTTTCGATTACCCACAGTGACTATGGTGGATCAGTTGAAAAGCATGTGACCTGTGGCGTCTCAAGGGGTGTTCATGCCAACCCAACGTTTGGAGTCATTGAAGAAGAAAAAATACAAAAAAAAATGCCAGAGTAGTTATACATTCTAGAAAAAAAAAATACATTGTGATTAGTTATGTTAGCTCTTCCAGCCGAAGAAAAAATACATTGTGATTACTGATTAGTTATGTTAGCACTTCTACAGAAGAAAAAAAAATTGTGATTAGCTATGTTAGCTCTCCCAGCAGAACAAAAAAAGGTACATTGTGATTAGTGAAGTTAGCTCTTCTAGCAAGAAAACAATTTTAAGAACACAAAAAAAATGAAGTTAGCTCTTCCAGCAGAAGAAAGAAATAAATTGTGATTAGTTAAGAAAAAAATTAAAAAAGACACAAAGAAAATGAAGTTAGCTCTTCCAGCAGAAGAAATAAATAAATTGTGATTAGCTATGTTAGCTCTTCCAGCAGAAAAAAAAAATACAAAAAAACACAAAAAGAATTGTCTGAGCCCAGGTTCGAACTAGGGACCTTTAGTGTGTGTGACTAACGTGATAACCAACTACACCACCCGGACGCTGTGCTGGCCCCTTCTTTTCAGATAGAGTAGATCACAGAAATGAACACGCATGTGAATGGACCTCAACAAACTATGTGTGCATGTGGTTTTCCAAAAAGAAAAGAATACTGCATGCTTCAACGGTTGAACCCCTGTACCCCCATAAGACTGAATCAGAGAGACCTGAACACCGGTGCATTTCGGTGCTAATCACCATGTCCCTCTGCATCATCTGCTTACAGCTATAGATGGCCAACGGCCAGCCCCCGCCCGCAAGACGGGTCCGTGAAAGCATGGCCCGATGGGGGTCGGGCCGGCACGCACGACGCTAAGCCTTCGGGCAGGTGCTCTTAGGGCCACGGGCCTGGCCTTCGGCCCAGGTACGGTACTATGGGCCGTTTTTCGTGCCATGTCGGCCTGCTAAACACGACACTGTATTACCGGTCGTACCAAATTAATGACCCTTACCCTTGCATTCACATAATCAAACATAATCAATGTCGAAATGTCCAATACATTCACAGTTTCATACTTTCATTTCATTCATAGAAACATACAGATACATAATCAAAGTCCAAATGTTCGATACATTCACAGTCCAACAGAGATATCAAACTCCAAATTCCAAAGCCAACAGATAACAGAAATAACCAAAATGAGCTGGTTAGTGCAATGCTGCCTCATTAAAAACTTTTCTAGATAAAACTCACCCTTATGAGAAACCCTAGAAAAAAAAAGAGTGCAGCCAGCTCTTAATTAAATCTTACAAACCATTGTTCAAATGATAGACAGGTCTTTCACAGTCACACTCGCTCTTTCACAGTCACAGATCACACTCACACTCTCAAGAGTCAAGTCTTAACCTCGCTAAGGACCAGGAGCACCAGCAGCAGCTTCATCTTCATCAAGGTACAAGTTCTAGAATGAGTCTTTTAGCTCTTGGTTGTCAACAGCATGTTGTTCCCTTTTTTCTCCTAACTCCCAGTCCTTTATGTAGGTCAGCATCTTCACAGCCTTTGGTGACAAGCGCCGCCGCCGTTCCTCAATTATCCTGCCTGTCAAATTGAAACAAGACTCCGAAGAGACAGTAGATACAGGAACTGATATGATATCTCTAGCCATTATAGACAGGATTGGAAAGGTTAGCTTGTGGTCATGCCACCATAGAAGTAGGTCAAAATCATCCTCATAAGAAGTGACATTGTCACTGTCTAAGTAAGCTGAGAGCTCACAAACAGCAGAAGTAGATGAAGATGAAGTGGCAGGGAGAGGGGAAGGACCAACAACACCTGATCCACGTCCAAAGATTCTTCCCTATGCCTGCTTTTTCTTACCTGTATGATGTGATGGTTGTGTAACCCTTTGAGACCTAGCTGCACTAAACTTGCTCTCATATTTGTTAAACAGTTTATACAATTCAGTTTTGACATTAGCATAGTATGAACTATACTCAGAACCAGTGTATTCACCAAGTAATTACAGCACATTAAAAAATCTCTCATCTTAGCTCTAGGATCAAGAATGAATGCATATGAATATAACAGATGTATGTCTTGCCAATATTTAAGGAATTTAAGCTTCATAAATTATACAATAGCTCTTAGATTTTGATCTTTTTCACATGCATGCAAATGAGAAGCAATCTCTAGGATATGGTGCAGAACAAGTGAACTTGTAGGATAATAAACACCAGACAGAACAACAGTGAAATCATAGAAGAGTTCCAGGAACTCCAATAACTTCTCAGCAAAATACCAATGATTTATAGTCAACAATTGTGAACCATAATGGGAATTAATGAACATAGAAAAGACATTCTTGTATGAAAGCAAGTGTTTAAACATCAGGTAAGTAGAATTCCATCTAACATCCATATCCAAGCTAAACTTTCTAGGTCTAACACTCTTAGCATTACAGTATTCCTTGAACAATGCAATTATTTGATTAGAGGAATTTAAGAAGTTAATTGCAGTTCTAAAATCTTCTGTGTAAGGTTTCAACCTCTTTAATCCAAATTTTACAATGAGATTAATAATATGACAAGCACAACGTTGATGTACAAAACTATACTTACGGTTACTAAGATCCAAAGGATCAGGTGAAGGATCAGGACCCAAGTAACCAGCAAATAGAGGTGTCAAAGTATTCATAGCCTTAGCATTAGAAAAAGCATTGTCTAGAGTGACAGAGAAAATCTTGTCAATCAGACAATACTCCTCAACCACAGCAGTAATTTTTTCAGTAATATTTTCACTAGAATGTTTAACCTCAATCCACCTAAGACCAATAACCCTTTTCTGTAACTCCCAATCAGCATTCACATAGTGAGCAACAACACTAATATAGTCCTCCTTAGCATTACTGCACCAAATGTCTCAAGTCAAAGCAACAAAAAAACAAAGAAAACATAAAATTCTTAAGCATATCACGGCGTCCAGTAAACAGCTTTCCAAGATCTCTAGTGATGGTCTGTCTAGAAACCTTAGCAAACCTAGGGTTATGAGCAAGAACAATGTAATCCTCTCAGGCATGTGTCTCACATATACCTAATGGAAGGTTAAGCCTAGCAATCAACCGACACAACTCAAATCGAGCAACAGCATAATTATAGTCCTAGTTATGCACAGATCCTTCAGGATTGAAAGAAAGCCTAAACTGAACCATAGCAGCATGATCAGCCTTTTCCCTGCAAAATTTTGGTGCCTAATCAAATGGCCAGTGCCAGCAGAAGATCTAGCAGACAATTTACTCTTACACATTTTACAGATAGCAACAGTTCGAATCTTTGAACCATTCAAAGTCTCATAGATCTCATCAAAATCAACCCAGACACCAGATTTACGCTTACCAAGAGATGAGATACCATCTGTGCTGTTGGAGCCGACCGGGGTCCCTATCGTCGTCGCCGACGGCGTCGGCGCCGCCCCTCCACCACCGTCGCCGCCACCGTCCGATTGATCGGAGCAGAGCCGCTACCAACATCGATAACCAACAACGCAGCGTCGTCATGGATGATGTCGTCGTCTTCCTTGGGGACCACCTGCCGCGATCGGTCATCGTTGCGGTGAGTAGATAGACGACATCGTCGTCATCCGCCATGGCGACCTTGACCGCGGACGGTGATCTCCACACGCTCCTCAACGGTGCGCTGCGGTCGTCGTGCCCGATCTATGCCATAGGAAGAGGACGAGGCTTCGGCAATTGACCTGCATGGAGGAGAAAAACAGAGTCAGAGAGATAGAGATCCAGATCCAAGGTCAGTCACTCAGTCTCAGAGACACAAGAAGACAGATCTAGGGTTAGGGTTACAGTTAGGGTTCGTGGACTACCTGCGCAACCGGAGCCCGGTGCCGGAGATGACGAGGGCCACCCAGAGGAGAGACACCAATTAGAAACGACGATGAACGGCGGAGGAGGGACGGACGGGAACACGGTCACGAACTCACATAGTTCACCGAGAGCGAGAGGTCGAGAGGAGAGAGGGAGAAGGGAGGAGAGTGGAGACAGGGTCAGACAGGCGGATCGAGGTCACCGGAGTTGGGGACGACGGACGAGATCACGAGAGAGAGCTCAGATTCACCATATCATTGATGCGGCCGCCGATGTGGGTGAGAGAGAGCAGAGATTGCGCCGCGGCGAGCGAGTGGGGATTAGGGTTAGAGTTGGGAGCGGACTGCGGAGAGGGCGAGGGCGACTGGGCGAGCGGGGAGCGGCTCAGTCGACGCTCCCCTCTTATATATGGGGGCGCGGGGAGAGGGCCGGCCGGTGGCAGGCCGGGCCGCCGCTTGAGGAGCGGGCCGTGCCGTGCCGGCCCACGTGCCTAGGGTAAGGCCCAGGCACGGACTGCTTCTCGGGGCCGTGCCAACCCGGGCCGGCTCGCCACTTGGCCGGGCCAAAAAAATGGGCCTTGAGCCCGGCCGATGCGCTCGGGCTGCATGGCCATATATGCTTACAGCAGTATAATCTGATCAGGAAGCGCATGCACGTGAATGGGAAGAGATGCGGTGACACCCTGACAGGTGAATGGACACGCGTTCAGGCAGACATGCACATAACTTTTCTGAGAAGCAAGTTCAAAAGTTTGGGAGTATATTTGCTTAAAAAACAAACATTTAAAAAAAATAGTTTAGTTTCTTAAAAATGATCTTATTTATAGCTTTTGCCAGAGTTTTTTTTTCCTTTCCTTTCAGCTTCTCAGTTCTCACCGAAGCTCAAACAAACACGGCCAATAAGAAGAAATGTTATTTATTTGGTTTAGCATGAAGATCGAGCTGCATGCATATAGATATACGCACATGTCACAAGCTAGTTATTTACTAATAAAATAATAATAAGCACATTCACAAATCGCAGGGATGAATCATGAAAGCGGGGCATGGCAGCCGCCTCCTTGCTCAGTTGCTCTTGGCCTTGGTCTCCTGCTGCCCCAGGAACGACACGTCGACATTAGCGTCGCTGCAGTAGAGGCAGGGGTGCTGCTCGAACCCCTGCGCTTGCCGAGCACCTCTCTGCCGCCGATCGAGCACCAGCTCCCGGTTGCTCATCGGCGCCGGGTGCGCCGCCAGTACGACCTGCAGCGCTCCGCTGAACGCCCCGTGCGCCTGCTTGCTGCCGTCCCCTGGCACGTCCACCGATAGCTCGTCCTTCTGGCACCTGCTCAGCAGGATCCCGGCTTCGTCGGCGTGCGCGGCGCCGCTGCTGTTGCCGCCGTGGTGGTCGTGGCGGTGGAAGCGGAACTTGGAGCTGGCGTCGTCGCCGAATAGCGCCACGAGGTGGTCGGCGACGTGGTGCGACGCGCCCACGCCCGACAGGAGGTGGCCGAGCACCACGGCGTACGGGAGGAAACGGCCGGCGTGGACGGCGTGGGCGTGGAGGTCGGGGTCAGCGGCGGCGTCGGGGCCGATCTGCTCCTCCTGGTCGATGAGGCCGCCGCTGTAGCACGACTCGGACACCATGGTGAAGGTGGCGCCCCGCGGCACGCGGTCCACCAGCTCCCGGAAGTCCACGTCTGCGCGCGCGCGTGCATGCAAGAATGTCAATCAGATACTCAGATGTGACTGTGAGAAACGACGACGACGCGCCAGCCATGCGTGCATGGGAGTGCTTGGACGTGCGTAGACGCGGACCTGTGATGAGGTTGAAGTCGCAGGGCACGATGGCCTCGTCGTCGCGGCCGCCATGGCCGCTGATGGGCGGGATAAGCGTGCCGTGGGCGCTGAAGTGGAAGAAGAGCACGTCCCCGGGCGCCGCGCGTGCCACCATGTCGGCCAGCACGCGCTTGACGTTGCCGCCTGTGAGCCTGTCGGGAGCACGCCGGTGCCGCTCTCGTGGTCGTCGGTGAGCACGGTGACGTCGCCTGGCGCGCCGCCGAAGGGGTCGAGGAGGACGGCGCGCATGGCGTGGACGTCGTTGATGCAGCCCTGCAGCTCGTTCTCCGTGCTGGCGTAGTTGCACCCCACCAGCGTGGCCAGCATCTTCTTCTTCACCGCCTCCATTGCTGTGCTTCTTCTAGCTCTAGCTCTACCTCTACCTCTGGTGCAGTGAGATGAGATATCGATCTCTGCCTGATCACCTGTGTCCATTGGATACGCGCGTTGTCATCGTTCATTTGTTGCTTGCCTTTTGTGGATGCAAGCTAAGGACACATTGCCTTTGGACCTTGGACTTTGCTGCTCGGCTTGCAGTCAGATGGATGAACCATCACGCACAAATTCATCCCAACGAGGCAAAGACGTACAGTACCTAGCTAGGTGTGTATACATATGAATTCGTGAAGACGACAGCTCGTCGTACCGAGAATGTATGTACGTAAGCAACCTAGATCGTCCATTCATCCTAGCTGAGACGTCAACAGTGTAACTAGGTCATCAACGGCAACAATCCTTTGAAGCCGGCTAAGCTTGCGTGCAAGAAATGAATGTGTAAAGCTGCTGCAGCTAGCATTGCAGCACCTTCAAGAGAATGTGTTCTCTGAAGCCTTCTCAGCCTGTCCAGCTTAAGCTCCATCATTAAATAAGAGTTTAGCTCTTAAGTTGTATAGAGATAAACTAAAGTATATTATCATGAAATGATTATTTAAGCTGAATCCAATCAAGACAGTTGTTGAATTTATGATTATCTTACTATCTTAACAATCCCATCACAACTTCTAGCAACAATCAAGATATAAGTGCAAGCAATCAATCACAAATAAGTTTCTGGCATGGTTTTCTGAACATAGAATCAGCAACAGGCACACGTTTTCAATCGAAAACAACTTAACAGGAACAACAGTACAAAATCAATGCTCCTGTAATCTAGAAACTAAAATTAATAATCCTGTTTTTTAAGGTGTGAAGAGTATTGCAACTACCTGCGTTCCTGCAACACCATAGAATGTGTGTGGGAACTCTGATCGGACAAGTCCAAGTTGATCGCGCACAACATCAAAACTGTGACAGAAAGGTTATTCATTGAGAATGGACAATGTATTGGCCTGAAGTTAGGATACAGAGGTAATGAATTGCGCAGACAAATTTTACCTCAAGCAAGACCAGCCAATGCCGAACCCTCGGATATAATTGTAAGCCTCACGATCAAATTGGAGCTCCTCTCCATCTTCCACTGCATCGACACCCGGTTGCCAGACCTGAAACGAAGCACTAAAGGGGTAACTAACAAATTGGAAAAAAGGAACAAATTAGAAACAATTTTTTTAAGCAGAAAACGCAATTCCACTAGGCGTAACTTTATGAGGAAGCACAACTAGTTCGGATGAGTGACGTGAGGATTAATTAAGAAAAAAAAAAGAATAGGGTCAGTGATTTCTCCCTCACCTTAGCCGGACCAGAGGCAGCCGCAGGATTAGACGATGACGAGGAAGCTGCAGCTTTCTTCAGCCCGGAAACAGAGCAGAATTAGGTGGGAACTGGAGCACAAAACATACTGAATGGAACGAAGAAGAGCTTTAGTAGTTCATCTGGTAGCTCTTCCCCATGATTCCTTTGATCCATTACTGGACTATTACAGCCTCAACCCAGATAAAGCATCTGAAAGATCAGAATCAGACATTTAGGAAGCATTAAGATCCCTATTGCCATAAGCATTCATCGTTTCTATGTTTGACATGAAGCAATTCTGGATATTTCTGTGATAGCAGTGTCTGAATCCATACCTATCCAAAGAGAACCCATGTCAAATGCAGAGTAGTTTGCCATAGCGCCACCACTATGAACTCTGCTCAGTCCAAACTGTCGTTCATCTAAGTCTCATTTACCATTAAACGGCAGGCCAGGTGGTCCAACAGATAAAGATGCAGAATTACCAAAATGTTCCTGAAGCAAAAATATAAAGCCCAAAATTATTTCAAGTGATCACATAACTGAAAAAGAACTATAGAAAAAAAAAAATTTGTTGTCCCTTCTATGGAGCATTAGGCAAACAAGAATAAGGCATTTTCTTCCAACAGTTCGCAAAGAAATGAAAAACAAAGTTAAACAAAAGAACATGAATCCATCTTAATTAGAGATAAGAGGCTTTACAAAAAAAATTGGGTAAAAATTAAATCATTAAGCATGCAAACGAAACAGAGAATGTCAGCAGCACAACCAAGGACAGGATACAAGGCAGGTGCTACCAGGACTGGAAAACCCCCACACCTCCAACCCACCCCATGCGTTGCCCATGTTACCCTTTTTTAGCCCTATATGTGCAGTACCTTGATTAAAGTGTATAACCAACATTAACATGCCAAAAAAGTATGGTTTACACATAATATTTCATTATTAAGAGAGCAAGACAATAATATTTCATTATTAAGCACCCTCCTTGTCCCATTCCGAGTTCTGCCCCTGAGCACAGTGGCACCAGAGCAAATAAGAAAAGTTGCATACAGAACAGAAAGTTCAGTTCTAAGCAAATATGGATTGAAGCTAATAGTCCAATTAAATTGACATGTAAAATAATCTGTCTCTACAAATGATGATAGAAACAGACATTTGCTAAAGTAAAGCCAGATGTTAAGAACCATAATTGTCTAAATAGATGAAAAAGTGAATCTCATGCAACATGGAAGAGAGGAAGAAAATTTTTCCCTTAAATTATGTATCTTGGTGAGTTATCCAAGCAAGCTTGCGTTAAAAAAAATAGGTTATCCAAGCAAGCCATTCCATCTGATGGTCAGGACTCTGGACATGGCAAGTGGACACACAAAACGTAGTTCAGCACCAACCTAGTGGAAAGGAAAATTCCAGTTCACATTGTAAGCACTGGTTTTAGTATCAGTACAAACACACGAGTTCTAAATTGCAAAGAAATCTTATGATGCGATCATAGGAAAAACTGCTTAGTTTGCAATGTTATAGGGTTTCATAGCCAACAAGTTTCTGCCCAGTAGAAATGGGCAAAATATGCACATAGTAGACAAGTGTCTAGTCATCCAGCTCAATGATCTTCACAACGGATGAATCTACCACCTTTTCTAGTAAATAACGACAAACAGTCATGGGACTTGATCACACCAGAGGCATTGTCATGGTCAAGAGCAACCATCAGAATCCACTCATTTGTAGTGCTGGTAGACTCTTCCTGAAAGGCACAATGAAGATTGACTAATACCAAGTGACCAGACAATTGCTCGTTAGTTCAGCCAGGAGTAATCAATCAATTTAAATCACACGCAATGGAAATGCATGAAAACGTGACAAACTAACATAATCAGAGCCTAGCTGCAAACGTGCAAGAACAAGCCAAGTAGGATCACCACGTCAAGCCTTATCAGTTAACGTTCACCCTAGCCTTCCTCTGTGATCCACCAAGCAGGTTGATCTCTCCCTCTGTGATCCACCCAAGCCTATGCATCCTTTCATTGTTTGTACTGCTGGGAACCGCAAGAAAGGCTTGAAGGGTGAGTACGATCCCGATGGCCTCTATCAGATTCAGGAGCAGAAAAACCATCTGGTTGCCTGCATGAATATTGTTGTTAGATAATAACAAAGTTGCGATTTTCAACCTTGGAGCCATAGTTCATACTTCAACAATAGCGACAGCAGCTTCTCGAATATGATGCAGTGAACCTGGAGTTCTATTAAGCAATGATCTGAGAGTTTGAAGATGGCTTGGTATGCTTGTATTTGAAGGTCATGCACAAAAGTAATGTCAAACACTCAGGTCTTTGCTAAAAGCCTATAACCCCTACTCCAGCCTCCAGATGCCATCATGAAACCAAACTGCTCCAGTTCAGATAAGCAGGATGGTTAGAAGTATTGGCACCATATACGAAGGTCATGATGGGACTTCCAATGCTCGACTCTCTTTATAGACATGGAGCTGCAAGGAATCAATGACATGGATGTCAGGAAAGAGCAAGCCAAAGGATGATGGTCTAACACAAAAGTTAAGCAGAATTTGAGGTAGTTCAGCATGGGCTCCACTCTAATAAAAAGTGAAGGCATAGGAACAGGAGATTGTAGCGAACAAAGAAAACAAGTCATGGGAAATAGACCACAAAAGCATCAGAAAACACTAGTATATATTGGATTTACCTGATCCATGGAACTACAAACAGGAACAACACACACTGCTAACAGCAGATATTAGTGTGAAAAAAAGGCACTGCTAACAATACATACTCAGGGGGGAGGGGGGATACTTCTAACAGTGGGGGGAAAACACGAAGCTTACTGTATAAAAATCCATCAAGAAGTCAAGATGATTGACTTTATTCCTGGCTATGAAGAATATCTTACAAACTAAGCAAACAAAAGGAATAAACTTATGTGCTCCCAATAGTTTGAAAATTGATCCCCACCGTACAGATAACTAGGACTGAAGAAAAGATAACTTTTATAGGAGATAAACAGGATGCTGACACGCACTAACAGTACAACACTCCCTAGAGAATTTCATCAAATAAATGTGACAACACAACATGGCCAGCAAATTAGAGAATGAGGTAGACATTACCACTCAGCTGAGGATTTATTTTGTTGGGCATAATCCTCATTAGTTGACCTCCTCAAGAAAATGGTACTTTTTAGGTAGGGACTTTGCATGGTTCTTATATTCCTCCCTCGAGAAAAGTGATATTAGCAAGGAAGTAGTGGAAGCCTCAAGTGAGAAGTTCATCTCATCAATTTTGGAGAGGTAAGCCCCAGCCCTCACTATCTCACCTCCACCCAACAGCCTCCTAACTATAGCATTTAGCATGCCTGAGTTTGGAAGGCATCCACTCTTTTCCATTGCTAAAAATAGATTCTCAAACTCATCTAGCAACCGTTCTTTTATGAGATTTTCCATCATTAAGCCATAGGTCACCAAATCTGGAACTAAACCATGGGCAGGGATAGCAGCGAACAGATCCCTGGCATCTTTCTTACTGCCACCTTTGAGCAAAGAACCGATCATAATATTGAAAGTAATGATGTCAGGTCGACGATCCTTAGAAAGCAGGCTCTGAAACATTTCAAATGCTTCATCAACACAATTATTTTTGCAAAGCCCATTTAGAATTATGTTGTATGTGTAAATGTCCCACTGTTTTCCACTTTTAATCATATTGAGGTAGAGTTCCTTTGCTTCAGAAAATCTCCCAGTTTGAAATAATCCTTGCAGTATAGTATTGTAAGTCACAACTCCAGGCGTAACTCCCTTCCTCAACATTTCCCGGAAAAGACAATATGCATTGTCAATCCTGCCAACTTTACAGTAGCCATGAAGCAATGTATTATAGGATAAAATGTTCGGTTTCAAGCCAACCGAGAGCATAACATCAAGTAACTTTGCAGCTTCATCAGTTCTACCAGCTAAGCAGTGGCCACTTATTAATGTAGTATATGAGATAACATCAGGCCTCACGCCTACACGTTCCATCAAGTCAATGACACTCCGGGCTTCCATGACCCGTCCTTCATTGCATAAGTTAGACATTATTGTGTTGAAGAACACGATGTTAGGACGGATTCCTTGATCCAACATTTCAAAAAATAATTCCTCGACCTTTTCCCATTTGTCGACGGCGCAGAGTCCATAAATCAGGGAGTTAAAAACAACAATGTCAGGTGTCACTCCTTCGTTGATCATCTGATTGAATTTAAGCACAGCTTCATCCACTCTTCCCAACTTGCAAAGTGCATCTATTAATGTTCCATAAGTGACTACATTAGGACTCAATCCTTGCTGCCTCATTTTGCTAAGAATATGCATTGCCTCATCTATCATTGCCTTTTTAGCATATGCACAGAACACAGTGTTGAAGGTGTAATGATCAGGTGAAATACCATTTTCTACCATCAAATCTAGGAGATCAGGCAAATCAGCAAGGGCTCCTTTAGAAGCATACCCGTGAAGAAGAATGTTGTAGATAGTTACATCAGGTTTTATGCCCTTCCTAATCATAGAATCAAAAATCTTCCCGGCTTCTGTGCATTTTCCGTTCTTGCATAGATAGTCCAGCAGCAAACCATAAGTAACAACATTTGGGTCAAGACCACGTGTGTACATTTCTTCGAGCCTTCGAACCACCTCTTTCCACTGTCCTGCAGATAGGTACCCATGGATCAGACAGGTATATGTCTGGATATTTGGCTTAACACCTTTATCAATCATCTGCTGAAGGACGCCCTCGGCCCTGTCAACTGCTTGAGCTTTGCCCAGGCCATCAATGATTGTGTTGTATGTCACAACATTTGGTGTGCAGCTTCCATCTCCATCATCAGCCATCGTGTGCAGAAGCTCAAGTGCCTCCTCAGCTCTCTTTTCATTGCATAAACCCTTGAGAAGTGTGTTGTAGGAAACTACATCCGGCCTGCAGCCAAACTCAGGCATTCTTCCGAACGATATCTCCTTGGCCTCGTCCACCCTCTTGGCATCACAGAGGCCCTTGAGTAGTTGATTGGTGACTACGTCATCCACCCTCCAGCCTGTCTTAAGGATGAGGCCAAAGGCCGCGAAGCCATGCTCCAGGCGACCCATGCGACAGAAACAGCCAATTAGGATGCTGTATGTGCACAGGTCTGGACGCACCTTGTTGGAGCAGGCACGGGACATCCGGTTGAAGAGCGAGACGGCGAGCTCGGAGGTTGAAGAGCATCGGGACCGAGCGACAACGTTAAGCAGGTGGTTGAAAGCACGAATCGAGGCGGGCCTGGCGTGGAGCAGCAATTCATCAAACAGCTTGAGCGCGTCGTCGAGTCCAAGGCTCCCCGACCTGGCTCGGCCCGCGATGATGCGCTCCAGCTCCGAGCACCGGTCGCTGACGGCGCTCGCACCGCGGGACATGCCGACGGAGGGCCCACGCGCGCGGCAACTGGCCCGGCGCGGGCACGAACGGCGGCGCTGCGTCCGCCTCCGGATCGGTGAAGCAGAGCAGATTACGTGAGGTGGGCGGAGACGCCGGCCGCGAGTACTGCGACGTGGGGGATGTGAGTGTGTGAGCGTAGAGCTGGAAGACGGCGACGGCGGTGGCGGTGGCGGTGGCGGTGGCGGCGGCGGCGGCGTGGGGTGCACGGGTTGGGCGCCGGGCGCAGGTGCTGGTGGGCGGGTTGGGCAACGATGGCCTCAATTGCTGCGTACTCTGGCTGTCTTGTACTGTTTCCTTTTCTTTTCTTTTTTTCATCACATTCACATGACACGTACGGAGAGCGTACTCCAGTTTTTCCCAATGTGTGTGTGTATGGATTTAAAAAAAAAACTTTTTTCTGAGAAGCAAGTTCAAAAGTTAGGGAGTATTTGCTTAAAAAGCAAACTTTTTTTTGAAAAAAATAGTTTCTTAAAAATGAACTTTCTCATTTTCTTTCAGCTTCTCACTAAACTCAAACATCAAACAAACACAGCCAATGTTCAGGGTATGATTCCTACAGCCAGTTATTATTATTATCATCATCGTCATCTTTAGTATCAATATAGAAGAATATCCTTTTTACTGTAGGAGCCCCGGCCTCTCCAGAATCTTTAAAAAATAGAATATCCATTCTATTAGCGTAATTGGGTGGCACGTGAAGCCATAGTTGCCTTGACGGCCAAAATACTAGGTTCGCATCCTACAAATTCCATTCCCAGCCCATCACCACGAGGGAAGCCCATGTAGCCAGCGCCACACCCCTGATGTTTCGGGCTTAGACCCTGCAATGAGAAACGTCTAATTAATTAGCCTAAACCGAATTGTCATTCATTTGACTTGTTCCACTTATAATACTTAACATCTTTAAACTTAATGTGTATATACATTACACTTTAAACTTGTCTAAAATGTAAAAATAGATGGCATATATAAGGTTAAGTGTTTGTGTCTAGGAGCAGAATTCTTGTTCAGATTGCTCTACTTGGTTATGGCCTTAGGCTTGCCACCCTGGACATTCATGCCCATTAATAAGATTCTAAGACAGCGCCAACGGTGGTGCCGATGACGATCGATGACTTGGTCAACACCTTCAGGAAGCCTCTGTCGCAACCCATTCTCTCATCCCCACCACGACTTAGGATCACCCGGGCGGCGAGGGAGCGCGACGATGAGGAGCTCATCCCCAAGCGGAGCGCTCGTCTTGCTGCGAAGAGTAGGTTCCGAGAGCCAAAGCCGGAAGCACAGGCAAGGAAGGTCATGATGAAGCGCCTGGGCGTTGAGGTAGAGACGCAACTACCTGATGAAGCATCGTTCCAGGAATTACAGGCGGCCTTCACTCTACCGCTCACGCCTTCGACGTGGGAGGCATGGAGGTGCTTTTCCCAGGCAGGAAGCAGCGGGCTGTTAGGGCTGTTCGCGCCGCCTAGTAGGACGATAGCTCTACCATGCGCGGTCTAGTCGCAAAATTCGGATCATATGTAATAAGCATGCGTAAATTTAGTAGCTAGGGCTCGGCGTATCGCCTTCGATGGCCTCTCTCCACCGTCGTAGATCGTCTTTGTAATATATATATTTTTTTAAAAACTCCTTTCCTCTTAATGAAAAAACGGGTTAAAACCCCCATTGAGAAAAAAAAAAGACTCTAAGAGGTTCCTTTGGAAAGGAAGAAAAAAAAAGTGAGTTGTGGACATTGCTCTTTGATAGATGGTAAGGAGATTGCTGCCATGGCTTTATGAAATTGCAGAGGAGTTTGTTAGTTGAGGTCTCTTATTTAAGTATAGTAATTTTGAGTTGGCCCTTAGAATGTGATGGCTCTAGTTGCAGATAATAGGGTCTGACCGGCCATGGGCAAGCATTTCCTATTCATGTCCTTTGTTTTGGTTGGGGCTTTCTTTTCTATGGTAGTTACTTCAGAGGTTGTGAAATGGAAAAATGTATTGTTCTAGACTATTGCGATGGACATAGTGTAGCTTATGCCCGCCCCTAATTTATTCGCCATATTTTCCAAGAGGCATTCAAACTAGATTCAAGGCGCATTGTTGAGGTCCTTATGTATATTATAAACTAGATTTCGGAGATTCAAGGCGCACTCATTGTGGCCGTCATCCTGGATATCTTAATCTCTGGGACCTCCTTTTGGAGTTGGTGTTGCATCCTAAAGTTGAGAATCCTATGTTTGGCGTTATCTCCATCGGTCAATTGGAGGGGAATAAGGGAGATTCTGATTCCCCCTCGATCCTTTCCGATTCCCGACTTATAATTTGGAACAGATGGAGTGCTTGGGAGTACGTGTATGTGGAAGCTTCTTCGCAACATATATTGTTTTGAAAACAAATTTATATTGAATTTTAGGATACATACGACATGTGCACCATAATTTCAATTTTCCACGCAAAAAGCGCCCAAAATGCACCAGGCAAAACAAAAGTGGGTACTGTAGCCACCTAAATGTCAGGGTGCGGTGCATGCCATACGCTGGCTGGTCGTGTACGTACTCAGCGTCTATACACAGGATTCTCCGTGTGAAACTGAATATACAGGAGACTTATCTATGGAAGTTTCTTCCCTACAAATTCCAAATTCCTCTACAACGTCCAAACCGAAACAATAGTAAGCCTAGCTGTACATCCCGTTAATAGGGATGCAAGGCAGGTTGTTGCCTCGTTTGCGAAAAAAAAGAGAATTTTTTATGAGCCATTAAAAAAGATTGTAATTTTCTGTGAGCCATTGAAAAAGTTCAGCGGGCTTCAGCGCCACTGCTCTAAAAAAATTTTGCCCTCCATGCCACTGCCGTTAGATTGGGCTCTAAAGGTGTCAAACTGCAGGTGTAAAAAGTCAAAAATACCCTTAGGTCTGGATATGCTATTAATTTTTTTTTAGTATCTTAACGACTTCAAATGGAAAAACTCAAAACTATAAAAATTATCTTCGTTTAATATCGCAAAAAAAATATGATTTTTCTAACATATATTAATCACATCAAATCATACATCTGACGGCCCAGTAGTGGGAAGCGTAACACGGCCCGGCCCAGGCCCCTGATTCGTCGTCTCCCGCATCCAACCGACCAACCGAAACATCGTCCCTATCTCGTCTCCCCCGTCCAACCGAAACATCGATTATTCGTTTCCTTCCTCTCTCTCTCTCTCTCTCTCTCTCGCACGCGTGACGCGTCTCGCCCGCCCGCCCGCCCGCATCCCGCCCCCGAATATCTCCTCTCAGCCGCCGACGCAAGCCCTAGACATGCGCCGCTCCGTTTGCTAACCAACCAAGCGAGCAAGAACCAAGAATCAAGAGGCAAGGCAGCCGATGCTTCTGGGCCTGGTCCGCCCCGCCGCCGCCCCGCATGCGCACGCAACAACCTCACGCCTCGCAGCGCGATGTCCCCGCCGGCGACCTCCCGGACTGCGACGGGACGGCCGGCGCCTGCTTCCCCGGCCGCGGGCTGTGCTGCCCCGACGACCCGCTCGACCTCGTCCTCCAGCTCTTCCCCGCTCACACCGCCGCGGACCGAGCGCCGCCGTCGTCGCTGGCCGCGCTCGGCATAGGCGGCGGCGGTGGAGAGCCGCCCCGTAGGGTTAAGCAGGAGCCGGAGCCGCCGCAGCCGCAGCCGCTGGTGGAGAGCGCGTATGGCGGCGTCGGCGTCGGCGACGGGTGGGATTCTTGGGGCTTGTCCAGCTTCCCTCTTGAGGGACTCTGCGGCCTCGAGGAAATTGACGTGGACATGTTCTTTGCTGACGACGCGCTGGACAGCGGCGGCGGCGGGGAAGCGACCGAAGGCAACTTGCTCTGCGACCCGACGGAAGCCAAGCCCAAGCCGCCGGCGCACATCACAGCTGCTGGTGGTCCCGTTCACACGCGCGGCTCGTTGGGCGGCGCTGTCGTCCCCAATGACGCGTCACCGTTGCCCGCGCCCATGCCAGCTGGCGCTTCCCCCCTCCAAGCGTACGACGCGTGCCGTGCGTTCGATGGCGCCGTTTTCAACAACGCGTCCGCGTCGCCGCCGCCGGCGACGACGGCGCCCGTGCAAGCGGGTGGTGCGCCGCCCGTCTTTGTCACCAACAACAGCACGCCGCCCGTCTTTGTCACCAACAGCAGCACGCCGCCATTGCCGGCGCTCATCATGCCAGCTGCTCCCGCGCCCATGCCGCCAGCTGCTGGTCTTCACGCGTGCGGCGCGTTGCCCGGCATTGCCTCTAACTTTGCGCCTGCACCGCCGCCATTGCCGGTTCCCATGCCAGCTGCTGGTCTTCACGCGTGCGGCGCGTTGCCCGGCATTGTCTCTAACAGCGCGCCTGCGCCGCCGCCACTGATGGCGCTCCTGCCAGCACGTGCTCTCCACCCGAACGCCGCCGCGCTGGCCGGCGTTTACTCCAGCACCAACGCGCCGGCGCACGCCCCTCCGTCAGCCACGCCATCGTCGTCGCCACCGTCCCGCGCGTCTTCCGGTTCGGGCCGCTGCCCGTCATCAGCAACATCGGAGCCCGAGTTCTTGCAACCCCATCGTGCTTGGGTTGTGCCGAGGAAGCAGCGGAGCCCACCAGCAGTCAACCGCCGCAAGCGGCCCTGGGTGCTCGACTTCCCTCTCCACGCCTTGCCGCCGGTCGCTCCTCCTCCTCCGGCCAACCCCGGCTCCGGCGGTGACGACGACGATGCCAAGAACCGGTACGCCTTGGTGCCTGTCGTTCCTCCTCCTCCTCCGGGCAACACCGGCGGTGACGACATTGCCGGTGGCGGGGGTATCCGCCGGCGCCGCCCCGGGCCACGCCAGAGGAACAGGCAAGCGCAGAGGGTATGCAGCCACTGCCACTCGCCGGAGACGCCGCAGTGGCGCGCAGGCCCGGACGGGCCGGGCACGCTGTGCAACGCGTGTGGGATACGCTACGCGGCGAACAGGCTGCTGCCGGAGTACCGGCCGTCGACGGCTCCTAGCTTCCGGAGCGGGCAGCACTCCAATCGCCACCGGAAGGTGATGAAGCTCAGGGAGCAGCAGATGAAGGCGGCGACGGAGGAGAAGCCGTCGGAACAACAGCCGATGGAAGATGATCGTACGGAGAAAGATGATGATGGGTTCATGGGTGTGTGCGCGTACATATCAGCAGCAGGCTTGTGACAGTGACACCCCGGTCAGGTTAATTGTAGCTAGTAGGCCACTATTAGGTTTAGGTGTGATTCTTTGGTTTCGTTTTAGAGATGATGCGAGTAGTGTGTAGTACCAACTAGTGATCGATGTATTGATCAATCATCCATGGATCCATGGATGATGTTAGCTACTCGGCCATGCAAGATTTTTGTAAATTATTGGCTTCGATTTATTCATTAGTTGGTTAAGAACTCAGTTCTTGTAAATATCAATCAAATCAAGATTCAAGGGTCACATCTCGGGTCAATAGCGATCTTTTTTTGGGTGACTCATGTTTCCTACATGCATTATATATATATATATATATATATATATATATATATATATATATATATATATATATATATATATATATATATATATATATATATATATATATATATAGCATGATCGTCCCCTTTAACTGTATGATTCAGGTTCATTTGGAAAACTTAGGCTCCACTGCGGATCTAAGATCTTTCTTTGGCTGGCATTCAAGCGACGCCACTGGACCGGAGACAGGAGAGCTAGGCACGGGCTAGAAGCAAGGGGGAGATGTGCTACCTCTGCGACCAAAGGGCGTGAAACCATTGATCATATCCTGGCCGAGTGCCCCTTCACCAGAGAGGTCTGGTTCCACATTCTCCAAGCCTTGCAACGCCCACTGCCACAACCAGCCGCAGCTACAACATTGCGATGGTGGCGATGACTGCGAGCGACATACAATGGTGTCCGGCGCCGAGGCATTGACTCACTGTTTGCGCTAGTCTGCTGGACCATCTGGAAGGAACAAAACGCCAGGTGCTTTAGGGAGGCATCCTCATCGGTGAACGAGGTGTTGTTGCTAGTCAAGGCCGAGGCCGATCGGTGGATCGACGCCGGCGCACGGGGGCTTGAAACGTTGGCTCGCCTGTAGGTGGGATGGTCACCCTTGAATGTTGTTTGTTTCAAAATGTAGCACTTGCAAAACACTAACGCGGCCATGGAACGGCTTGTATTGCTCAAACTCTTTCTACCTAATACAATGATACGCATCGCTTGTGCGTATTCGAGAAAAAAAACTGTATGATTCAGGTTGCTAATTTTTTTTAGATATCGCTAGCTGGTTCAGGTGAGATCATGGTCAGCACAGGTGGTTTATAATGGTTCTCCCACGAATTGCTTCATTCTATCGCTGCGCAGCCTCCTCACATTCTAGACACGATGATCATTGGTTTGGTTGAATCACCCGGTTGATGGCATGGTGGTTGTGACTTATGAGTGGCACCTCCAACACGTAGGTTCGATTTCCCATGGGTACGAATTTCAGAACTGGTTATTAAAAAACCTCTCTTGTTGGCAACCAAAAGTAATGGAGCGGTATTATAGGGTCTATGATGTAAAGGTTCGAGGAGTTTCTCTCTTGAGGTCTTCTACTTTAATAGCAATAGCAATGTACTGGGAGAGGTTGATAGTAGTTGTGGGTGACAACAACCTAGCACCGACATGAGCTCTTACCCGCATTGGTGTCACTAATGGTGGCAGGTGCAAGCGCGAGACTGGAGAGGCACGAGGGAGAGTCTTGGGCCAAACCAACTGCCACATAACAACAACTACCTAAGTTTGATTCTAAATAGACTCGGGCTATGGGCCATGCGTGATCACCGTGATTCGCCCGACGTGCACGACCTGGCGCACCAAACCGCTACCTTGTCATGCCTCGTCGAAAACTAGATACCATGGTCATTGGTTGGTTGATGTCTTTTACCTTAATTAACAACAATGCACTGGGAGCGGTTGATAGCAGTGGTGGGTGACAATGACCTAGCAACAACCTAAACTCTTGACGTAGCGCTATCCTGAGCTCTTGCCCGCACGGTGTCAATGGCAGGTGCGAGAGCGAGACAAGAGAGGCATGAGGGAGAGTCCTTGATCAAACCAACTAAGCCACGTAATAGCAACTAGCTAAGCTTGACTCTAGATAGACTCGGGCAATGGGCCATGCATGGTCACCACGATTCGCCCGATGTGCACAACCTGGAGTACCTAACCGTACCTTAATTGCCATGCTTCATCTGTGCAGCTTCATCGAATACTAGACATCATGGCATTGGTTGGTTGGTCGAGGTCTTTTACCTTAATAGCAATGCACTATGAGAGGTTGATAGTGGTGGTGGGTGACAATGGCCTAGCAACTGCCTGAGCTCTTGACCTAGCACTGGCATGAGCTCTTGCCCGCACGATATCGCTAGGGGATGGCAGGTGCGAACGCGAGACACAAGAGAGACGAGGGGGAGAGTCCCTAACCACACAATAGCAAGTAACTAAGCTTGACACTAGATAGACTCGGGCTATGGGTTGTGCGTGGTCACCGCGGTTTGCCCGACCATGGATGAGCTGATGTGCCTAACCTGCTCTGTCGTGCCTCGTCTGTCCAAGCCTCGTCGCATTCTAGACACCATGGTCGTTGGTTGGTTGCATCACCATCCTTTGGTGTCATAATCCTATATCGTCACTGGTTAAAGGTTTCTGTCACAATATTTACATAGATAGGGTGGAAAACTAGTATGCTACTACTACTATGCTCCCAATACTCTCTAGGACGTAAGAGCTTGAACCCTTTAATTTTTTTTGATAAAACACTCAAAAGAGTGTTTCATATTTGATATATCTAAAAAAAAGAAACATACAAACCAATTAAATGATTAAAGTAATCGAGTAACAAAAATACCATCCAGCAATCTCGGGCATCCCCGTGATCTGCAGTGCCATCCTTTTCTTTGTCTTATTTGCCTATCTGACTGACCCCGATCTGCGCCGTGCCTAGCGAAGCAGCGAGCTGGCCAAAACCAGTTGAAAAACATACGTGACAATGTGACGTGTAACAGCCATTTATGCACGTTGGAAAGCTGTTAGGAAGACCGTTAGCCATGATAATGGTCAATTAATTGGCTACACTTCATGACTAAATGGCTTCATACGTGACGTATCTGTAGCTTACACTTCATTATTCCCAGCTAATTCATTACTACTCTCTCCGTTCCAAATTACTCCGTTCCAAATTATAAGTCGCTTTAACCTTTTTGATACATTCATTTTTGTTATGTATATAGACATATGTTATATCTAGATACATAGCAAAATCGCTATGTATCTAGACATACATTATATCTAAATACATAACAAAATCAATGTATCAAGAAGTACAATACTACTCCTATATGGGACAAGTATTGTACTAGACAGCAGTGAAATAGTCAGAACACACACACTGAGTCCTGTTTACTTGTCAGGCTTCATCAAGTAGGAAAGTTAGATCATTCATTTATATTAGATAGATTTAATAGGAAGATATTCCTTATTTATTATATATTTTTTATATTACCTCCTATGAGGTACAACAACAACAACAAAGTCTTTAAGTCTCAAACAAGTTAGGGTAGGTTAGAGTTGAAATCCAATAGAAGCAATCAAGGTTCATGCACGTGAATAACTGTTTTCCAAACACTCCTATCTAAGGCTAAGTTAATTAACATCTAGATCAACGGTCCGCAGTCATTTAGCTACCATAGCAAAGATTTAAAGACACATCAACACTAGCTTAATCAACGTACATATCGAGCACTACATCCGTAGAGAAGAAACGTAGATATATATCCAGTGGGCACAAAATGTATACGGTGAGATGAGATCACCAAGCATCTATGATTCCTGGAGCTAGTTTCCTACCAACCACGTGGCTGCGCAGTCCCGCCATGGCCGGCGCCTCCGCTTCGGCCGCTATCTCCGGCGGTCCACGGCGCACTTCCAAGCGGCCGGAAACTGTACGCACCGTCGTCGTCGAACCTGCTGCTGCTGCTTCCTCGGCTTTGTGCCATGCCCACCCGATGGAAACCACCCCCTCTCCTGTAGCTGCTGCTCCTTGTTAGCTGCGTCTCGACGGCGGCGGTGGCGGCAGCAAGGGCGTTTCCTCTCCCCCGCCCGATCCAACCCGTGCCAGCGTTCTTGTGCTCTTCCCGTGGCGACGACGGCGTGCTCGGCTTCCAGATTGTGTCCGGCCTCTGAATGCTGCAAGTAGTACGTCCCTCGTCAGAAACGAGAACGACATGTGGTCAGGCTCCGGCAATATATACAGAAGATGAATGAATCGATCCATCACAGTTCACAAGATTTTGAGTTTACATGCGCGGCGGCCTTGAGCCCGGGTACGTGTGCCAGAGTGGCCGCTTCGAGATGTCGGCTCCGGTAACAGCCTGCATAATTGATAGTTCGTGAGTTCCAAAGACCATGATCGATCGTTTGACGAAAACAGCTCCAATGTAGATTGGAATAATAAGCAACTTAATCTGTACTGTAGTATTCGTGAATGCACCTTGTCAGGTACTCTGACATTGCCAAGTAGTCTTGGAACTGGATTTGCTGCCTCAGGGTTGAAGAACGTACCTGATCTGGAACATGAACACCCAAAACGTAACTAATGTTCCAAGTTGTCGCCTTAAGACAGTAAGCTCGAGAGGAAACATACATTGTCTGATCACTCGTAATGTCCTGCAGGTTTGTTGTGGGCGAGTGGAAGAAACCGTCGCTGAAGCCATCATTGTCATCAGGCGCTATCCATCCTCCAATTCCACTATGCAAAATAAATAAATAAAAAAGAATAGAGACCACAGAACTGAACAAAATGTCAACTTAAAAAATGCATTGGTACTAATTTACATCATGTTCAAACTTTGTGCACCTCGTAGCTGAATCTATCGGAAGCTTCTGCACTGAACAGTCCGATGTCTGTTCAGTAACTTCATTGTGTGGCAGAGAGCTTGAGTCCCTGTGCAGAAAGATCTTCTCTTGCCTAGTGGCATTCCGTCTCGATTCATGGGTCTAATTCAGTAACAAGCCAACGGGAAAACTAAATATGACTATGGTTTATGCAACAGCGGTAAAACTAGTGTAACATGAGGTCATGAGCACAGATGACAAGTGATTGTTTTACCGTGAGCTCTTTATCTACCGCTTTGGTGGCCGAAAGCAGCAGTTCCTCAGAGATACCCTGAAACAATTTGAAAATCAGCATTGCCCAAGTGCATCGCTACTTGATCACTACAGATTGAAAGTATCAGTTGATTCAGTTCATCGATCCATTGCACATATGAACTAATAGCTTACATTCCACAAGAAATGTTTCCCCTCTGTGTCAGGCTCCAACCTCGGGTAGTCAAATTCTTTGCGGCCCATTATTTTATTGTAACATTTTGGAAGAGCACACCAGCTGCAGAAAGGGGTGCAGGGTTGAAATTATCAACTCTTACATCAGAAAATGCTATAAAATAACACGCATGGCAGCAGTAAGAACAATTAATGTGCCTTCGCATTGGTAAAACTGCCATAAGCTGATCAAATGGTCGTAATGGTTTGTCCACAATGAAAGATATCTCGACCCTAGATAGACCTTTGAGATCAGATACGAAAGGAGCAACATAGAATGGGTAGTACCTGCAAAAGGTTGTAAGATAAGACATGGTAGAATGGGAGCATTTGTTCAAAAAAAAAAATTGTGCATGAGAATGAGATAGATAGAATCCATAACAATGAAATAAGCTATTAAGCTATTGTTCAGTATATTTAAAGATTTTATTTTACCATCTCCATGATGGAACGTCTGCAAAATAGCATTGAAGCACCCAACAAAGTCCTTCTAAATACTTTTGAGCCTGAATTCAAAGGGAGGAGACGGGAACAAAGGAGGGCAGATTATAACAAATATAAAATCCCAGCTTGCCTAGGAAAAGGGATTCCATTAGGACAAATAAATAAACAAGGAAAAACATAACCATGTCGTTCTGCAGCTTTCCAATTTCATTAGAAGTTTTGGCACCAAATACTCCCTGAAAAACGGGACTTCCATCCTGGTAATCCTAGTCTTATCTGCAACAGACATTTAAAAATTGTAGCAGGACTACAGGAGAAATATTTATCCAAAAGGCATCACTAACACTGTCATATGGGCATTCTTCATTAAAAAGGAGATCATCTAATTTTTGTCTCAGTTCTGATCTTTCACTTTCTGAAGCTTCACGCAACATTTCGTGATATGTCTTCAGCAACAAATCCTAAAGGCCAAAACAAACATACCGAGAATGACAATAAATTCCACCTTGCACCACAATACAGTATTGACTAGAGCATCAACATACCTGTTTCAGTTCATATCTTTTGAGGAAAATTTTCTCTTCATACATGGAGAGTTCATGAAAAAATATTTCCAACCTTGAGACTTCCAGATATGCACCATGTTTATCTTTGACCTGTTTTCAGTATCAACGAACCTAGGTCACCGCATAATTCAATGGATAATCATTGATGAAATAAGAGGCTGGAGCTGGAATTCTTCAGGTACTTTGTCTGTGTTGATAATGTACCCTTCCATTTTGTTGAAGGTTGTTTTGTACACTTCAATGAGAAGATCAACTGCACCCTGTTAGATGGAATAGATGAGAGAAACATCTATATTTTTTTCGGAGTAATGAACAAAGAGAAAGGACATATATAGTGATAACATATATGTTAGCCCCTGGATCTTCGGCAAAGAGTGAGCCGACCACTCCCCGGTTTTGCCAACCACACACTATGGCTAGAGGTAGAAGAAGTGAGGAAGAACAGAGCGCGCACACACACAGCATAAGCACCAGCGTTGGTCGGAGCTCTGCAGAGGAGATGGCAAAACTGAACTCTCTCTTTACTGAGTTGCAGTGAGAAGCTATATATACAACTGTACCCATCTAATCCTAGTACACAGACATGTCAGGCTGCCATGCTGCTACAGTGACTAGATGTGATAGCAGGGCTGACTTTGCGCTCGCCCCCCTTGCATGGCTACAAGACGGGCGAGAGAGCCTTCGGTGCTCTTGCCTCAGAAGGCGACTCTAAAGGCAACAAAGAGGGAGCCTTTTCGGCGCCTGTCCCTGCCGTGCGTTCATACAGGGGAGCAGCAGATTACTCAACAATTCTTCCCCTAATCCTGCAGCTAATCCTAGAACCTCCACCATGCCGATCATCTTCTTCAACTCCGTGAACCGAAGACGGCCGAGCGGCTTGATGAGGACGTCCGCGAGTTGCCGACCAGTTTCGACGAACTCGATGACGATTTGCCCTCCATCGGCTACACGATCCACGAGGAAGTGGAACTTGACGTCGATGTGCTTGCTCGGGCCGTGGAGAACCGGATTCTTTGCGAGCGCGACGGCGGGCTGGTTGTCCACCATCGGTCTTTGGTGGCGAAGCTTCCATACCGATCACTCGCCCGGCAGCAAATATCGGCAGCTACACACACAACCTTTGGCACGCCACCGCCCGCCGCCACGCATCGCCGCATGTGGACAGCGCCACCACCACCTTCTGCTTTCAAATGACCCATGAGATTGAGCCGACCCGAGGAAGACGAAAGCACGCCAGAGGTGCTCCGCCGTCCGTCGATGTCCCCCGCCATGTCTCAGATCGCTAAACACAAAGGAGCTCGCAGCCCTCCTGCCGGTCTTGGGGAAGACGATCCCATGATCCACCGTCCCCATGACGTAGCGTAGCGACCGTTTCATCGCACCCAATGATCCTCTCGGGATCCTCCATGAAGCGGTACGACGAGCCCACGGCGAACACAATGTCCGGCCTCGTGTGTACTAGGTAGCGCAGAGACCGATGATGATGCTCCGGTGAGAGTGTTGCATCTACCTTCGTTGCGGTCTTCGGCCTTTCGTCGCCTTCACCGCCCTCCATCGGAGTCACGCACGGCTTGCACTCGACCATGCCGCTCGCTCCATCAGCCGAGGCGACGCGGCGCTCGATCGAGCGTGAGCGCCTCTTTTCCCTGTCTCACCTCGATGCCGAGGTACTAGGAGAGCGCACCGAGACTGCTCATTCGAAAATGAGCCGCCATCTCGCGCTTGAAGCTGTCGATGTCCTCCGCCGCTGCCGCGGTGGCGATCAAGTCGTCCACATACACGCCGACGATGAGCTCCTCCTTCCCGTCGCCGCGTGTAGAGCGCGTGCTTTCGCTCGGCGCGCCGCGTGAACCCAAGCTTCGCCAAATATGGCGTCAAACTTGGCGTTCCACGCCGCGACTACCGCAGCCCGTAGAGCGCGCCTTGCGCAATGGAGCACCTGTGCTTTTCTCCCTTGACGATTTAAACCGGAGGTTGCTCGACGAAAACCGTCACCGCCAGCTCGCCGTTGAGGAAGGCCGATTTTACGTCCAGATGATGGACGCGCCAGTCCTTCGCTGCTGCCAAAGCCAGAAGCAGTCGGACAGGCTCCATGCGCTCTACCGGCGCAAAGACTTCCTCGAAGTCAATGCCGTCGCGCTGGACAAAGCCTCGGGCGACGAGGCGCGCCTTGTGCTTGACAATGGCACCGCGCTCGTCCCGCTTGACCTTGTACACCCACTTCAGGCCTATCGGACAGCATCCTAGAGGTGGATCAACGAGCTTCCAAGTCTCATTTTCCTCGATCGCCTTCATCTCCTCCAGCATTGCCAGTCGCCAATTTGCATCGCGCTCGGCCAGCGCGAACGTGGGTGGTTCCTCTACACTAACGAGAAGCCGCTCTGGGTCATTGAGCAGCCGACCCGCCAAGCTTGAGGACCCTGTGTCGTCGACGATGTCGTCCAGCCTGTGGAACCGCACCTCCTCACCATCGTGGAAAGCATCCACGAACTCAGTGATATCGCTTGGAGGTGAGGCGAACTCGATCGGCGTCGATGGAGTTCCCTGTTCCACCGAAGTCAGCACAGCACCTGGAGTGCTCGGCACCCCAGCTGCAGTGCTCGGCACTATTCTTGGACTCTATACACCTTAGCATCATTTGGTAGTAATTACTCTCCTAAAATTCCAATCTATGCATATGTGCGAGTTTCAAACCAAACACTCTAGCACATATGTGGGGGGAGATAATATTACTATTTCGGGTTTGTGGTACTTGTCCAAAATCATTTACACATGGTAAAATTGCTTGGGCAAGCAACATGAATCCAAAAGAGCTTAATTTTCATATCTTTGTAGAGTTGTCATCAATTACCAGAAAGGGGGAGATTGAAAGGTCCTTGTGTGGTTTTGGTAATTGAGTGACAACCTAGATGGACTAATTGTGTTTATGTGAGATACACAGGTGATTAGTCCACAGGTACATGTGTGTGAGCAACATATGCCATGAAGGTGAAAATGGCGCGGAGATGTTGCAAAGCTCACACTTGTGATGATGAAGGAGCTTATTGCACATAAGACATGACATTGAGTCATGTGATCAAGGTGGAAAAGATCAAGACAAGACTTGGCTTGATGGACCGGTTGCAAGTGTGAAGGGCAAGTCGGAGGCTTTGGAGCGATGGACCGCGTGGCGGTGAAGCTTGAACAAGACGTGGCGGACGAAGGCAACGGTGAAAAGCAAGTGAAGTCAAGATCGATGAACCAATATGATCACATGATGATATGAAATGGATCATATCATTGTTGATCATGTTGGTGCATGTGTTGCATCGACATTGGAGAAGATGGAATGAAATGCGCAAGGTAAAGATATAACCTAGGGCATTTCATTTCACCGGTCATAGGTATGTAGAGAAGTTGATGACCGGGTTTAGGATAGATGATCGTACTATCAAGAGGAGCAGACTTGTTTGCATATCGGTCATCTAGTGCCACTCGAGTGATCTAACTTTGCATCGTCGCTAGGATCGAGTGGCGCGACAAGTTGAGTGACTAATCCTTTGAAAAATTATTGTGAAAATGCTAACACACATACACATGGTGGTGTACACTTGGTGGTGTTGGCACATTTACAAAGGAGATGAAGTTAGAGTTGGTGTGGATCAACTCGGCGATGAAACGGAGGCGAGAAGGGTTAGAAACTCCATCGGCGGAGTGTCCGCCCGTAGAGTGCGGACAGTCCGACGGTGCCACCGGCGTCCTATACAGAAATGACAGGGTCTCACAGAGTGGACCGGACGTTGGTCACGTGGTGACCGGACGCTGGGGTCCTGCGTCCGGTCAGTGGCTGCAGAGAGCGTGCAGGCGTCGGTCTTCGACCGGACGCTGGCAGGGTACGTCCGGTCAGGCTGACGTAGGCGACGCAGAGAAGGTGGAGAAGGACCGGACACTGATGCTGCGTCCGATCATGACCAACCGGACGCGTCCGGTCGCAGCTGGTATCTTACTGGAAACAACCGGACGCTGGGGTTGCTGCGTCCGGTCACTTTGAGCAGCTGCGTCCGATCATCACTTGACCGTTGAGATCAAGCAACTGAGGTTGAACGGAGGCGACACGTGGCAAGCATCCGTTGACCGGACGCTGAGGTCCTGCGTCCGGTCGTTTCGACCGGCGCGTCTGGTCGTCCCGAGTTTTACCCAGTGAAGGGGTAACGGCTACTTTAGCCTGTGGGGCTATAAATAGAAGGGTGTCTCGGCCATGACTGTAGTTGAGCACCTAGGGGGACTTTGTGTCCATGGTTGAGAGTGCTTGGGAGCCCTCCATCTCACACATGCTTGATAGTGATCATCTGATTGTGTGAGAGAGCGATTCTAGTGTGATTGCATCGTGAGGTTGCATCGAGTGGCACTAGGTGATCGAGTTGCAAGCCGGAGGTGCTTGTTACTCTTGGAGGTTGCCACCTCCTAGACGGCTTGGTGGTGGTCTCCGTCGAAGCCCGCAAGAAGCTTGTGCGGTGCTCCGGAGAAGAGCTTTGTGAGGGGCATTGTGCTCGTCCCGCGGGAGCCGCGAAGAGCAACTCTAGTTGAGCGTGTCATTGAGCTACCCTCACTTTCGGGGTTGGTTCTTGCGGTGCCCAACGTGCGGGCTTGGCGGGTGATGCCAATTAGCCGCCGAACCTCCAAGTGAGCGGTCGACACAACGGGGACGTAGCGTGTTGACAAGCACGTGAACCTCGGGAGAAAATCACCGTGTCAATCTTGTTCTTCCCGTTGGTTTGCAATCCCCTTACACAAGCTTGTGATTACTTTTATATACATTGTGCTTGTGTAGTTGCTCTTGTAATTAGTTAGCTTGTGTAGCACACTAATTACCTTCTTGCTTGTGTAGCATAGAAGTAGCTCCCTTGCGTGGCTAATTTGGTTTGTGTAACCTTGTTAGTCACTTTGCTTAGTTTGTGTAGCTAAGTATTTACGCTCTCTAATTTGGCATTGGTTGCCTTGTTATTGAGCATTGCTAGTGAGCTTAGTTGGCTTTGTGCTTTTCCTTATTAGCATGTGTAGGAGCTCCCTCATTGCTTAAAATACTAGTGGCATAGGTTTGTGTGACCTTGCTCCTAGAATTGATTAGGTGAGCTCCAGTTAGCCCGGCACCTTTGTTGCTTAGTTAGGATCTTTGCAAGGTGCTAGAGAACATAGATAGAAGGGTGTAGTCTTGGCTAGACTGATAGTTTAATTCTGCACTTGTTTCGGTTAGCCGACGCGATTAAGTTTTAGAAACGAC